GGCTAGGTGTCCCCCAACCTGTGCCCACGGTCCTCACCTTCAACCTTCATTATCTGATAGGTGTCCTGCACCACCTTGTACTTGGGCTCGTTGCGGAAGGCGTGAGCCCAGGCCTGGATGAGGTACAGGATCTTACTGCGGACACTTGTCTCCACTTGCCTCTGCACAGGAAGGGAAAAGAAAACAACATCTGAGAAAAACCTCCTGAAACCCAAAGGATGGTGTGAAACCCCCAAAGAGAAGCCAGAAATACCAGTCAGGAAAGAGAGACTTTAAAGTACTCATGAGGAACAAGAGCTGTCAGAAACCCACAGTGAGGACGATGCACACACAAATGACAGACGCCTTCAGCTGCCCCACTGCCCCCCTTCAGCACAAACAACAAAATGTCCTTCAGAACAGCACAGACCAACTGAACAGGTCTGTGGCCTTGATGCTTTGAGCAAATGCCCAGGGCCAGGAGCAGGGGCTCTGGAGCCTGCAGCAGCCCAGCCCACCCAGCAGCTCCCCTCAAGAGCTGCTCATCCCATACTCGGAACACAGCGGGACCTTCAACTGCCCAGAACAGCACAGCCTGCCTTGCCCAGGCACTGATGGTGCTGGGGTGCCTGGAGGGTGTCAGCACCTCCAGCCCAGGAATGCTCAAAGCCATCTTAGAATGTGACACAGTGAAGACAGCTGGGTTGCCTGCCCTTTGGAGGCAGGGGCAACTGTATCACAGTTTCAGGAGCTGGAGGAAACTTGGCAAGCCTATTCTGACCTCAGCCAGCCTCGGAGGTGCCCTGTCCTCAGCTGCCCAAGTCATCACATCCACATGACGGGCTGCTCTAGAAATCCCCCAGGAAGCACAGGAGCACTGTCAAGCTCCAATTTCAGCCAAGTGCTCAGTCCACACAGTGTGACTTACTGACAATCCCTGGAGGTCCAACTTTCAGAAGATTTGGCAAAATCCTGCATTCCACACGTCACAGCCCTGAACTTCACCAGAACTTGAATTGCTTTACCAGCACTGGGCATTCACAAGCATCAAAGTTCCAAGTGTGGGAGGAAAATGGGGCAGTTGTGAAACTCCCGAGGCAGGCAAGGACTGAAAGAGCCACAAAATCCCTGGATCTGATCCGATCTCTTCAGCCCTTGGAGAGGCTGCGCTACCACACCTGGCTGTCCCACTAAGGTAGTGTTTCCTCCTCAGGGAGGAGATCCTGCACGGAGACTGAGTCAGCCCTAACAGGAAGGTGACAGGAGAGACACCCTGCTGGGTGATAGGGCTCATGCAGCTCATCCTGCAAGGATCTGGGTCATCTAGCTGTTTATTTCTGGTGGAAGACAGGAGCTGTAAGGAAGGAACAGCACGACGCTAACAAGCTCTTGTCTGCGCATTGCTGTTCTGAGCTGGGAGCGGGAGACAGGAGTTCTCATTTCTTCACTCATGGAATTCTCCAGTCCAAGGACACGCAGAGCTCCTGCAGGTATCAGACTGGTGGTAGCCTGTGACAACATCTTGTCAGTGCCAGCAGCCAGGGTCACATCATGCAGAACTCCTGAACAATTCCACAGGCCGGTGAAATGGCCACGACACAGAGGAAGCTCCTGTTGCTTTCTCCTTTACTGCTTTACCTGCCTGTCTCACACTGTTCTATGGGAGGAGATTCACCTCACCACTGCCCAGGTCCTCAATGCAGGTGCCAGGCCGTCACCTGGTTTCCTTTGCTGTCCCAAGCCAAGTGGTGCATCCAGGAGCATTTAGCATGGAATGGCCCAGGCCTCTGCAGCACATTCTTGCCAGTTCACAGCACAGCCAAACCTCTCCTTCCACCACATCTCTTCTTCCCAGAGACTCTCCTTTGCTCCCTACACTCACCCCTTCACACCACATGATAGTTTGCTCTTTTCTGGAGTGCACTCCCAGTTTCCCTTCTGTTCCTTACCCAAAAGGAATGCAGGAGAGGACACACACATTTCCTCTTGCTGCTGGTGCTTTTCCAGAAAAAAATGATAGAAAAATAAATCAATTTACCTTGAGTATCTCCTTCAGCTCCTCCATGGTCTGTTTATTGGCCACCTCGTCATGAACTGTTTGCCCACAGTTTTTAACCACTGACTCCATGACCTGCAACGGCCAAGAGCAACATCAGCCCTGGTTTCCTGCCTCCTCTGCAACCCATGGTGGTGCCAGCACACTGTACAGGCTGAACACAGGGCACTATTTTAGCAACGAGGCACGTTGGGCCTGTGTCAATCCATACGCAGTGCTGGGAACCCGCTGCCCTTCATCTCCACAGGGGCCTGGGGGGCCTCTGTTCTGTGGAGACTGACCCCAGGGACAGTGGCCCAAGTCCCAGCTTTGCCTGTTACAAAGCCAAGACAGACCTAAAGCATGAAGACCCAGGCCTGATCATCCCAAAATCTCTGTGCCACAGCCAGGAGGAGGCTGGCTCCAAGCCGTGCCACAGGCAGGGAAGCTGTGCAGCCTGAAGGCAGGACAGTGAGGGGGGATGTTCCCCAGGCCCCCGTGGTGCTCCTGTCTGGTGCTGTTACCTCCAGTGCATACAGGGCCACATGGGGATTCTTGTCATTCACTTTCTTCTTGATGGCATTGACGGCGTATTTCGCTCTGGGTAGGAAAGAGAGGACACATCCTCAGGGGATCAAGGATCTGAGGGGAGATCCCACCTGCTGCTGACAACCTGCCAACCCCCCCTCTGGCATGAGGGCACAGTTAGCCCAGGGGTACGCAATTCCTTGGGGGAATCTGGGAGCGAATAAGCACATTCAAGCTTGAGTTTCCCTGAGGATTTCAGGCCAGGGGTAACCTACAGCCCCTGAGGCCTGGGAAGCATGTCAGCACATTGAGGTGTGCTGTACTGCCCTTCCAAAGCCCCTCAGTGACATCTCAATGAGACGTGTGCTCCCGCGGGCCGGCAGGTCCAAGACCCCCGAAGGGTCAGACAGGAGAGCTGTGCCCTGCGCCCACAGCGTGTCCGAAAGCCCAGGAGCACTCACTGGGTGTCTCCCTGCCGGATCATGTCGCAGATCTGCAGGATGGATTCCCAGTCCGTCTCCAGTAGAAGCTGGCTCGTGGCCTTATCTGCAAGGAATAAATCCACGGGGGTGCCGTGAGCGGCCGCTCCCCGCGGCTCCGCTCCGCCACCGACGTGTCGCGGGAGTGCCCCGGGTGCGGCGCTGCCCCGAGCCTCGGGGATAAACCTCCCATGTCTCCCGGAAGGCTCCAGCCCTCCCTCCCCTTTAAGACATCCCCGGACGCTCGGTAACCTCGGCCCCCCCGCTCCCGCTCCTCCCGGTCAGCATCGGGCTGCGGCACCGAGCCCCGGCCCGGGCAGCGCCGCGTCCCGGGCCCGCCCTCTCCCTGCTGGGGACTCCCAGCCCGGCCCCCCGCCCCGCCCGCCGAGGGGGCCCCGCCGGTACCGAGGAGCCGCTCGAAGGTGCCGCCGCCGCGCCCCATGGTGTCCGCCCGCCGCCGGCCCAGCCCCACCGCTCCGGCCCGTCCGTCCCCCGCCCCTCCGCGGCCCTTCCGCTTCCGCCTTCCGCCGGGGCGGCGCCGGTTCCGCCGGGGCGGGGCCGCCATGGCCGCGGCTCGGCCCCCGCCCACGGTGCTGCTGCTGGGGCGGCGGGCGGCGGCAAGAGCCTTCTGGTGCGGCGGCTGCGCCATATCCGCGGGGCGCGGGGGCACCGGGGCACTGGGGCCGGCGGGCCGGCGGGCGGCTGTCCGGGCAGCCCCTTCCTCTCCTCAAGGCGAGTCCTTAACGCGCGGCACAGCTGAGCGTCGGGGAGCCCGTGGAGCTGGGCGAGCCCCCGGCCACGCTGCCCACGGTAGGCGAGGCCCGGCGAGGCCGAGGGGCGGCGGGGGGCGGCGGGCACGGCCGCACCCAGCCCGGCGCCTGTCCCGCAGGTGGGCACCAACCTGACCGACCTGCGGCTGCCGCGGAAGGTGACGGTGCGGGAGCTGGGCGGCTGCATGGGCCCCATCTGGCCCAGCTACTACAGCGACTGCAGCACTCTCCTGGTGAGCGGCACCGGCACCCCGTGAGATCTCCCTTCTCCGTGCCCTGCTTAGCCCGGCCCGGGGCTGCCCTCGGCACACCCGCACTCCGCTTTCCCTTCTCCCCCTGCAGTTCGTGGTCGATGCCTCCAACCCCACCCAGGTCTCCTCATCCTGCATCCAGTTGCTCTCTGTCCTTTCGGCAGCGCCGCTCGCCTCTGTGCCCGTCCTGGTGCTCTTCAACAAGATGTGAGGAGGGGGATCAGCCCGAAAGGCTGTCCGGGGGCAGCAGCTGCACTTTGCTGCACTTCTTGGGCTGGAGACCCCCAAGCTGGTGCTGGACCGGGGAGGGGAGCTGTTGTGGTGGGCTAATGCAGCCCCCCTGTCCCCACTGCAGTGACCTGCCCTGCTACATGTCGCCGGTAGAGATGAAGTCGCTGTTCCGCATGCAGGACATCGTGTCCTGTGCCACGCAGCCCATCACGATGCTGGAGACCAGCGCCCGCGACGGGACCGGCCTGGCCGACGTCCTGCAGTGGCTTCGGGCCACCCTTGGAGACCCCCATTGACCCCAACCCTGCCAGGTGCCTGCAACAGCCCAGGACAATCCTGTCACCAAAGGAGGTGGCCAGGGAGCAGCTGCCTTGCATGGGGCTGGGAGCAGGGCCTGGGACAGTGTCATAGGCTGGTGACAGACTGTATCCCCATGGGACTTCATATAAAATTCCTACCAAACCATCCAGGCTGGTGGCTGCCCTGTGCTTGGAAGGAAACCCCAGGCTTTTGGGGAAGGGATGAGCAGAAGGCTCAGAGGCCAGACTGTGCTGGCACCTCTGGGCACAGGAGGAGTTGCTGCAGTGGGGCTGGGGGCTGTGGCAGCATCTGAGCTGGGCTAAGCAGGGCAGGGGCTGGTAAGGCTGCCCAGGTTGGAGACTGAATGCATATGTGGCTCCTGCTGGCAGCTCTGGCCCTACAGGCATCATGCCAGTCCAGCCACAGTGGGGTGACCTGGGGAAAGGTGTGGAATAACTGGGGAACCTGGGTGGGTGTCAGGAGCTGGGGTAGGCCCAGTGACAGGGATGCCTCAGCCAGAGATGTCTCACAAATTGTAGCAAGTTCGAGCCTGTGGCTGCCCCCCAGCACTCACTTGAGCTCAGAGAATCTCAGAATGGGTCAAGTTAGAAGGGACCACAGAGGGTTGTCTGGTTCAACCTCCATGCTCAAGCAGCATCATCCCACAGCACATGGCACAGGATTGCATCCAGATAGTTCTGGAATATCTCCAGTGAGGGAGACTCCACAATCTCTCTAGGTAGCCTGTTCTGGTGTGTGGTCACTGCAGAGGAAAGAAGTTCTTTCTCACAGAATATCATAGAATATGCTGAGTTGGAAGGGGCCCATCAGGATTATATTCAAGTGGAATTTCCTGCACATCCGTTTCTGCCTGTTGCCTCTTGTCCTATTGCTTGGCATCCTTGAGCAGAGTCTGGTCCATCCTCTGGCACCTCCCTGCAGATACTGACAGACACTGACGAGGTCCCCTCTCAGACATCTCTTCTTGAGGCTGAACAGGCCCAAATCCTTCAACCTGACCTTGTAAGAGATACTCGAGTCCCTTAATCATTTCTGTAGCCTCTTGACCTTCTCCAGGAGCTCCATGTCCTTCCTGTCCTAAGGAGCCCACAACTGGACACAGCACTCCAGATGAGGCTTCACTAGGGCTCAGCAGAGGGGCAGGATCACCTCTCTGACCCACTGGAAATGGGTTCTTAATGCATCCCAAGAAGGGCTGGGGCTGTGTGCAGGACCCACCCCATGCCCACACCGATAACCAGTGTCTGTCCATGACAATAACCCGCCCTGTGCCAGCGCTGACAGCCCGGCCTGGCCCGGCCGCCTCACCCAGCGGCGCCAGTGCCAAGTCACGGGGTACTGGTGGCTGCCTGTGCCTGGCACACACCACGGCACAACCTGCCCTGGGCCTGTCAGTGCTGTGGCACCAGGGCAGCTGCTGTCCCAGGGCCTGGGGCTGCCAGGGCGTGCCATGGAGGGGAGCAGCTCTCGGCACTGGGGCTGCAGACACTGCCCGAGGTGGCTTACGGCTCATGGGGCAGCAGTGGCCCTCGCTCCAGCGGTGTGGGCTGAGCTGTGCTCTGCCCTAGGCAGCTGGATGGGCAAGCAGGTGGTGCCGAGGAGCTCGAGCACACCCTGATGCAACTGCTGAGTCACCACCACAACCAGCCCTGAGGCGCTAACCCCACCTGCCTGTTTCCAGCCCAACAGGTCCAGACACCAGCCAGAGCCCTCCTGTGCAGCAGCACTTTAATGGGCCAGGTCAGCCTGAGCCTGCAGGGTCCCTGCCCAGCCCAGCACTCAGCACCATGGTGGTTCTTCTGAGTCCATCTTGCCAGCTGGTGCAGTGTGTGTAGGGCTGCTGGGGTGGCCTGGAGGCCTTGCTCATGGGACAGGGATCAAACAGCTGCTCTCCTAGCGAGCCAGGCACAGGGCTGGAGCTGGGTCAGTGCCTGGCAGTTCTGTGCCACGGCATTCCTATTGATGTGCCTCAATGGGTCCTCGGCCACAGCAAGGAGAGAGAATCTTCCCCAGCATCCTGTGTTCCCGCAGCTTCCAGTGCAGTATTGTGATGGACAGATCCAGCCCTTCATGCCAGCCTTACCTGGGTCTCAGGCACGTCTCTCTCGCTGCTCATAAACGGAGTGAAGCTTCTGTATGAGAAATACCTTATCTTCCCCTTCCTGCAACAACAGAGCCGTGGAGCAGCTGAGTGGCAGTGCTACCAGGGCCAGAGCCTGAAGAGGCAGTCCTAGGGCTGGACCAGGCCATGGAGCAGCCGGGAGGGGCAGGGACATGGAGCGCTCACGCACCTTGGCGATCTGCTCCCTGAGCAGGCAGATGACCCTCTGCTGGCCTCTCACCACTTGGATGTAGAAGTAGATCACAGCTCTGCAACAACAGGACAGGATGGTGGCAGGCAGGCTGAGGAACTCCGGGCTCCTGGCACCGGGATGGGGCACAGGGCTTTGGATTGACACCCTGGCTCCCAGCCCTGCTTAGGGCCATGACAGTGGGACCCTCAAAGCAAGGGCCCAGGGTTCAGCCTTGGGCTTGGGTCCATACTCACAGCAGGGCCACAGACGTGAAGAATAGGAGGAAGGTGTTCTCCACCAGGTGCTGGTGGACCCAGGTGAACAACGTGATGCTGGGGTTGGACTTCTGCAGCACTAGCACCCAGCTCTTCCCTGATTTGTAGACGGTTTCCAGCCCCCGGAAGGGTCCGCACGTTTCTGATGGCTGTACCCTGAGCAGACAGATCGATGGGGTGGTCAGAGCAATGGGCAGCCCAGCAGTCGCTGCCCCCAGCCCAGGGCACTGCCTGTCTCAGACACCCAGCCCTCCTGGGACCCAGCCTCCCTGTCCCCAGCATCTTCAGGGATCTTCATCCTTGTGTCCTGCACCAGGAACACCCGGGAATAGCTGGAGGAAGTGGGCACAAGCCAGTGGCTGGGTAGCACCTGCCGGCCTGGGGCAGCACTGCACAGCCTGGTGCTGGGGGATGTTGGGGTTGGGGGGCATGGTGTCTCCAGGCCCCTCCATCTCCAGACAGCCAAGGGTCCTGTGCCCCAAGCCATGGCCTGGTGGGTACTCACGACCAGATGGTGTAGGAGAGGAAGATGGTTGCACCCAGGAAGAAGGGGAAGCACAGCAGGGTGATGAAAATGGTGCTCATGTGCGATGCTTGCCAGGGCTTGCTGGGGGACTGGCAGTTTCGCATCAGGCTGGTCTGTGAACAGGGAGCAGCATCCTGTGGGCTGCCGGCTCCTGAAGAGTGGCCCACGCCCTGCTGTCCTCTCCCTCCTACCCACTGGGAGCCGAGCGAGCCTGAGGACACCCTCTCCCCAGCAACCTCTGCTCAGTGCCACCAGGACAGGGCTGCTCCGTGCAGCACCGCTGCTGCAGCAGAGGTTGGCAGTGGCAGAGCAGAGTGTCACCGCTCTGTCACCAGTGGGGAACTGCAGGGGGCAGGGAGAATCACACCTTTTTGATGTAGAACAGCAGCAGCAGCTTCAGCATCTGCACGGCCGGCAGGAGTGGAACGAAGAGAATGCCCAGCCTGCGAGTGGGGGGGAAGACAGGCTCGCCTGGATCTAAGCCCCAAGGGAGCCAGTGGTGGGCACAGCTGTGGCACACCCACAGGGCTCTTGGGGAACACAAGGTATTTGCCAGCAGAGGAAGGAGCCGCACCAGGCAGAGACGTCTCACCAGGTCAGGGTCTGCCCGTAGATCAGCTCCAGCACATTTCGGGCAATGTCAAACTCGGGCCTCTGCCTCAGCCTCTTCTCCAGGATCAGCCTGGAGAGGAGCAGAGCTCTGCTCCCACACTGCCCAGGGGACCCTCGCACCCACCTTCCCACTCCAATGTGGCAGAGCCTGGGCACACCAGAGAGCTGGGGCCGTGCGGGGACACCACACGGAGGGGGACACACATCCTGGGGCACGTTACCTCCACAACAGCTCCCCAAAGAGTGTGTCCAGCAAGGTGAATATGAAATCCATCACCACAAAGCGATAAAGGTCCTGCCCCACACATGTCTCCCAGCACTAGGGATACGAGCAAGGGTGGCATACAATCACAGAGTGGTTTGGGTTAAAGGAACCCTAAAGCTCATCTCATTCCACCCTCCTGCTGTGGGCAGGGACACCATCTGCTAGACTAAGTTGCTCCAAGACCTGTCCAACCTGGATTTGAACGCTTCCAGGGATGGGGCAGCCACAGCTGCTCTAGGCAAACCTGTGCCCAGTGCCTCACCACCCTCACAAAGAAGAATTTCTTCCCAGTATCTAGTAAGGAAGAAACCACCAGTTCCTTCCCTGGCCCCATGCTGAGTCTGGCCCCTCACAGCCCCGGGGCAGCAGTGCTGACCTCCTCTGTTGAGCAGACAATGCTCCGGCTGAGCCACTGGAAACACAGCAGGCTGAGGACCACCATCTTCAGAATGAGGTTCCTGGAGAACAGAAGCAGGGCCAGGAGCCCCTGAGCCCAGGGGATGGAGGGGCCAAGCCCCATAGACAGGGTGCCTGGCCCCAAAGCATCCCCCCATGCCACAGGTGGGGGCACAGGACTCTCCCTCCACCATAGCCCCAGCCAGCCCACCTGAAGATTGCCACGTAGACCTGTGTCACAGGGGAGTCATGCTTCTCCCACACTGCCAGCAAGTTGTACAGGTGGGGCATCAGCGCATTGAGGAGGGACACCACAAAGGGCAGGACCAGCAGGATGGCTTCCTGCTGCCACCTGCCACTGCCCCGCACTCGCTGCTCCTGCTGAACCTGGTGAGCAGGTACTGGGGTGAGCACACAGATTTGGGCAGCCAGGCATCCTTAGGGAGGGCAGCAAACATCCAGGCCAGGACAAGAGCTGCAACGGGGCTGCCCCCACCTCCCTCCTCGGTACCCCTGCCATGTCGCTCCAACCCCAGGGCAGGGGATCCCAGGGCGAGGGCTGGCACTCACCACATGCATGTACTTAGAGAAGTGGTGCACAGCCAGTGTGCAGCCCAGCACTGAGCCCAGTGTCAGGGTCCAGGCCAGCAGCACCACGATGCAGTGCCTCAGGCGCTGGTAGAGGCTCTGGGAGTGGGAGCGGGAGCGCTGCTCTGCCAGCAGCTCCTGGAAGAGAGCAGTGCCAGAGCTGCCAAACCTGCTCCACGCCTGGAGCCAGGGTCTGTCCCGCTGCACCGTGGCAGGACCCAGAGGGATGATGGACAAAGCACTGAGGCAAGGATGGGATTGGGGGTGTTTGTATCACCCAGCTCCTCACCTTCAGCTGGGTGCAGAAGTTCTCACACCGTAGTTTCACTGAGCGCCTCTGGATCACCTTGAAGTCCCAGGCACAGAAGACTTTAATGGCCAGGTCCCCCACGGAGCTTCCCACACTCTCCCGAAAAGAGCAGAACACGCTGCATGAGGGAGAGGGCATCAGGGATCAGGGCTGAGTGAAGGGGGAAGGCTGGCAGTGTCACAGGTGCTGCTGACCCACCAGTACATCAGCAGGATGCAGGTGACAAGGAAGGAGGCCCCAACGCTGAACAGGTAGGCCAGTGGCATGTTGTACGGGAACGAGGGGGCTGTGAGGGGGCACGTGCTGCCCTTGAGGCCAGGGCTGCAGGGCTCATTGAGGGTGATGTTGCTGTAGTAGCCATAGTACAGCAGTGAGTGTGTGAAGTAACCCTGGTGGAAAACACATGATGTGGCCCATGGTGACCTCAGCGGTGCCTGCAGTTCCCTGCCCAGCCTGGCACCTCACAGAGTCCTAGGCTGGGGCAGCACCAGGCACCCCGTTTGCACCCACGGCACTGGCAGTCCTGGGGCCCAGGCCGTGCAAGGGCAGGGACTGGGGCATCACTGTGGTGGGGATATGGGACTGCAGCCCAGGCCTGGAGCAGCCCCTGTCCTGGGGATGCCCAGGCCCTGGTGCGTGGGCTTTGCTTACCGCTCCTGTGAGGAGCTCGAGGCCGGTGAAGGGTGGGGGGCTGGCCGAGGTAGGGGGATATACAGCCTGCAGGGCCACCACGAAGGCCAGGAGGATGAGAAATGAGAAGAAGTTGAACATAAGGAGTGTCTTGAGAAAAAGGAAGTAGGAGAGGACACTGGAACCAAAGCGGCCACTGATTTGCTTCAAGGTGTAGTGCCAAGGCTGTGCGGTGCGGAGCAGGGAGAGGAGCCTGTACCAGAGACCTCGGCAGCTCTGGGGAGAGAGAACCTGTGGAGAGCACCAGAGCCAGAGCCTGCACTGGAGCCCCTGCATAGCTGTGCAGAACCCACCCTGACTTACGAGGCTGATGTAGACAGTGGACCACCCACAGGGCGAGGAGGGGGCCCAGTGCTGGGCACGCTGCCTCAGGATGCCCCTCTGCCTGTTGACCTGCCGCCTGTCCAACAGAGATGAACGTCAGAGGGTACCACAGGTCCCAGGATGGCTCTGGCTGTGGGAGCTCTGCCTGATTGGGCCTGGCACAAGGGGACCTACCGGAGGGTGCGTTTCTCTGCCAGGCTGATGGGCAAAGTGAGCAGCATCTGGCTGCGCTGGTAGGGCGAGAGGCTCAGCAGCTCCTTCACCAGCAGGCTCCGCTTGTCTGGGGCACAGGGGGCTCAGTGGGACACAGCTAGCCAGGTCACGGCATGCCCTTTCCAAACCCAGTGTAGGGACAGTGCCTGGCACTGCCTGTTCCCGCTCCAGGGGACCCTCACCTTCCAGCGTGGTGCTGGCGGGGTCGGTCTCCAGGTCGTACTGCCGCAGGCTGGGCCGCGCCGCACGGCACAGCTGCTGCAGGGGTGGGCGGCTGCTCCGGCGCCGCAGCCGGGCCGTACGGTTGCAGTACTGGGAGATGATGGCCCCGAGGCTGCGTCCTGCAGGCCAGAGCAAGGCAGGGTTTGGGTGGCCATGGGAGAGCAAGGTAGGTGGGAGAGCTCTCTGAGAGGCTCTGGGGCCTGGAGAAGGGCAGGAGGGCAGGTGGCACCTACCGATGGTGCGGCTGGGCATGCTGGCCAGGATCTGCAGGGAGGTGGAGGAGTAGCCAGGGCACTGCCCTGGCTCTGCCCAGGCTGCAGCACAGGCGTCTGGGGGAGCCAGGCAGGCCGGGGACTCTAGGAGGGGGAAGGCAGGATGCAGAATACCCAAGGCTCATCCCTGTGTTCCCACTGCTCTGCTCCAGCACAGAGGACAGGTGTGTGTCCTGGTGTGTGCTTCTCCCTTCTCCAGGGGCACTCCCTATGTCCCCAAGAGCTGGTCTGCTCTGCTCTGCCCTGTACCAGCCAAGGCATCAGCGGGCTCCTTCAAGGCTCTAGCCACAGCCTTGACATGTACCCCAGCTGGCCCAAGCAGAGTCAGGGTTGGTGGATGGCCCTGGGCACACACATTATCCTCAGCCTGCCTCGGCTGCAGTCCTTTACCTCTGTCCCTCTCCTCCATCTCGAGCTCCAGACCTGCCTCGATCAAGCTGCTCTGCTCCAGGATAAGCTGGTGGAAGGAGGTGTGCAGGGCTCTCTCGTTGTCCGGGCTTGGCTCCTGGCTGCAGGGACACAGGGACACCATGCCACTGGGGTGCAAGAGCTAGGGCACGGTGAGGCAGCAGGAGGGTCACACTCACCCATCGCTCTCGGTGCCCTCGAGGACGTGGAGGGTGATGGAGGGCGGCTGGGACATCCTGCAGGCCCGAGCGGGTCCCTCCGACACGCGCCCTGCCGCGGCGAGCGGACGGGAGTCAGTGGCCCCGGCCCCCGGTTCCCCCGCGCACTGCCGGCCCGCTGAACGAGGACGGAGCCGGAGCCACTGCGTGTGGGGTCCGGGGCAGGCGGGAGCGCGGGGCCTGTGGGCCTAAACCGGGGACTAACCCCGGGCCCAACCCGGCAGCAGGAGGAAGGAAGAACGGGCGGATAGGGCGGCGCCGCCGTCGAGCGGGTCCCGCGGGGGAGGAGCTCGCCCGCCCGTCGTCCCGGGACCCTCAGGGGCAGAGACGGAGCCTCCAAGCACCAACCCCAGCGCACGGCTCGGGAGGGGTCCGAACTGTCCCCAGGAGGACACATCGGAGCACAGATCCCCCCTCACGCCGTGTCCCCCCGTCCGCTCCCGCCAGTGCCCAGCGCCGTCTCCTTCCTCCCTTCCTCCACCAAGCCTCGGGCTCCGCAACTCCCTCGCCCCCGGAGCGGGCTAAGGCAGACGGGAGCTCCGGAGCTCCTGGGCAGCTCCCCCCCGCCCCGATACCGGGAACCGACGAGACGCCCCGCCGGGGCTCCCGCCGCCTCCGCCGGGGCCGTGGGTCGGCGTGGGTGCGGATCCGCGGGGAGGGCGAGGAGCACCGAGCCCTCCCCGCCCTGTCGTTCCTGCCGTGTCCCGGTACAGGGCGGGGGCGGCGGGAGCCCCTCAAAGCCCCTGTTTCCCCTGGGCCGCACTCACCGGGAGCCGCCGCCGGCCGGGCCGTGGGGGCAGTGCTCCCCGTCCCCGTTACACCGGGGCGGAGGCAGGGACGGAGCGGGGCACCGGGGTGCAGGGCGGGACGAGCGCAACTCTCTGTGCCCGGGCGGTGGAGTCCCGGTCCCGCCGGCCCCAGCCCGCCCCGCCCCAGCGCCACGGGACCGCCCGGGCCGGCCCTCCCGGGGCGGTGCCGCGCAGGAGCGGCAGCGGAACGCGATGGAGGGCGGCGGCGGCGCCTACGGGGCGGCGAAGGCTGGCGGCGCCTTCGACCTGGTCCGTTTCCTACAGCAGCCGCAGGTGCTGGCGCGGATCGTCAGTGCGGTGAGTCGGGACGGGACGGGACAGGAGAGCCCCGTCGGGACGGGCCGCGGACGGGACGGGCCCTCCCCTGGAGCCCGTCCGAGCCCGCCTCCCCTCCGCCCTGGCTGGTGCCCCCGGCCCGTCGGGCACGGGCAGCCGTCTCGGTGCCGCCCATCGGACACCGGCTCCGCCCCACAGATCTTCGCCCTGATCGTGTTCGCCTGCCTGGTCGGCGATGGCTACATGAATCTGCCCGAGGAGTCCCATCTCTTCTGCGTCTTCAACCACAATGAGGACGCCTGTCGCTACGGCATCGGCATCGGCGTCCTCGCCTTCCTCGCCTGCATCTTCTTCTTTATGGTGGACGTCTACTTCCCCCAGATCAGCAACACCACCGACCGCAAGTACTTGGTCCTGGCCGACCTCGGCTTCTCAGGTACCGTGGGCGCGGGGCAGGGCTGTGCCTCCCGCCGCTGCACAATGGCCGCCTTGTCCCGTGACGTGGCTGCCGGTGCCTGGCAAAGGGAGTCGCTCCCTGGCACGCTGCCCGTCGGCCACGAGCTGCTGCTGCTGCTGGGCACCCCGAGGAGTGGCTGCCCCCGGCCGGGTGCCTGCGCCAGCCCGCACGGTTGAGCAGGGTCTTCATGCTGCTTGCCCCCACAGGTCTCTGGACCTTCCTGTGGTTCATCGGGTTCTGTTTCTTGACCAACCAGTGGTCCTGGACACGGGCCGAGGACGTGTACATCGTGGCAGACTCTGCCCGTGCTGCCATCACCTTCAGTTTCTTCTCCATCTTCTCCTGGGTGAGTGAACCACCCTGCCCTGGTTGAGGAGAGCGTGGAGGGGCCCCTTGTACCGCACAGCCCAGGACAGCCCTGACGCTGCCGCCCCCTCCTCTCTGCAGGGCCTCCTGCTGACCTTCGCTTACAAGAGGTACAAAATGGGGGTGGAGGACTTTGCTCAAAGCTATGTCGACCCCACCCCAGAGGTTTCGACTCCCTACTCCAGCTACCCCAACATCAGCCATGAGAGCTACCAGCAGCCGCCCTTCACCCAAACGGCAGAGGCCCCGGAGGGGTACCAGCCCCCGCCGGTGTACTGAGTCCCGGCTGGTGCCCACGGGATGGCTGTACCATTGCAATTCCTTCTGTGGGGTGGGAGGGAGGGGCCTGTGACTTAGAGGGGTGGGAGGGTGACAGCTGCTTCGTGTGAAGGTGACTGGGCCTTGGTGTGGGGCGCAGGAGGGGCCTAGTCCCAATGCTGGAGCCAAGCTCTCTGATGAGGGGTCGAGAGCCCCATGTGTGGTGGGTAATTTGGCGCATGGTAGTGATTTGAAGCTGCTGGGTGAGCCCTGTGGCTGTGGCAGGGTGGGTGTGTGGGCAGCCCTGGCACAGCTGAGCCTCTGCCCTCGCTGTGGTGCCCTGGTGGAGTGTGTGGTTCACCCTCCCCTGACCCTGCCCCAGCTCTGCCCCTGTGACTGCTGCCCTGGCCTGTCCTGGCCCCAGTGCCTTTCAGCCCTGCTGGCTGCATCCCCCCGAGTGCTGTCTCTTGCTGCCATAGCACAGCCAGGCCCAGCTCCTGCCTGTGCCAGCTTTCCGTGCCTTCCCTGCTCGGCTGCTGCTGGGTGAGCTGTTGCCAAAGCCCCCCTTGTCTTCCACTGATGCCACACTGTGCCTTCCCCCAGCCTGCACTAGAGCTGCGAGTGCTCACGCAGTTTTGGGATCTGTGGGAGCAGCGAGCATTGGGATCCCTCAGCAGGACCAGGGCTGCTCCAGCTGAGGAGGGTCCTGCAGTGCTTTCTGTCTCTTGCTTGCCTCCCCCGTAAGTGCTGCCTCTGCTAACGTGAGGCTGTGCTGCCATGCCCTGCCCACGGCTCCCACCTGCACTCTGGGTGCCGCAGGGCTGCTGTCTCAGGTTGTGTTCGCTGCTGTGCTATGGTGAAGCTGTTCCCGGTGGCCCTGTGCAGGCTGTTGCTGCTGGGGCTGGTGTTCAAGTAGTTGTCACTGTAAGGTTTGAATAAACTTTTTCACCGAGCCACCGTGTGCCTTTTGTCTCTGGGGAAGAAGGGGTTACTGCCCTCTCCCCCTGAGGGATGGGGGTGCCAAGCAAGGCAGTGGCAGCACAGCCCCTGCCAACTGCTGCGCTGTGCACTCACGCTGGTGGCTATTTTTAGGCCACCCTCCTCCTGCTTCTCAATCCGAGCAGAGCTCCAGTGCCAGCCCTGTGAGCAGCCCTCCCGCCCTGTGACCACTCCAGTGACCAGCCCAAGCTGTCTCACTGGTCACAACCAGGAAGCTTCCACAGAGCACTCCGGTAGAAAACACACACAGAGGTTCATTAAGTTATTTATTAACCTAAAACAGCCGCAGCAGTCCCTTCCCCAGCCCTGAGAGAAAAACTCAGGCCTGGCACTCACGTACTTGTGAGTACAGTTGTGCCCACTAGTAACATGGGTGCAACAGAGGGAGTTCATGTGGCTCTTAGAGCCTTCCAGGGCACAAGCAAACAGTGACCCTGCGCTCACACACGGAGATCTGGCCTGGCCAGAACCAAGAGCTACTGCTTGGAGCCTGTGGCTCTCTTGCAGGGAAAAGCACTTTTGCAAGGAGTAAGGAACAAAGCCAACAACCTTCCAGAAGCCGAATCAAGCAAAGTAGGAAGAGGATGCCTCAGTCAGCTTAGAGCAGAGGAACAGTCAGCCTTGAGAATTTTGGAAGGTTCAGGAGGGAGCAAGAGACACAACTAAAGAACCAGCCCTTCATATCAGAGCCCCTTTGCCAGGTAGCTGGACCTTCACAGGAACAGTTGCCCAAATCTGGCTGGATGAAACCCTGAGCCTCCAAATCCCTCACAGTTAATGCAGCACCAAAACGGCAGCACCAACCTTGAACCTGAGAAAAACTGCCCTGAATTTGGAGGAGGCTCTTCCTGGGGCCAGTTTTTCCAAAGGACTCTGTCACAGCCTGCTAGACCACCACCAGCCCTTACAGTTCAATGGCTCAGAAGAGCCTGCTGCCAGGCTGAGTTGGGCCTTCCTTTCCCCTCTTCTGTTTCACCAAGAATTGACAAAGCAATAATAAAAGTGAGCATCAGCAGTCAGAGAGGCCAAGGCCCTGCCCAGGGCTGGGTTGTCGCGTGTGTCAGTTTAAAAGTTGTGCCACAGCTCTGTGACAAGGAACAACTTACCTCAGACTGTTAAAAAAGGAAGTGGGCTCAAAATATTAATGACTGTACATTGTCATTAGAAACCTGGAATTTAGCAAGAGTGCACCAGAGAGAAGGGCTGCGTTCACAGGCACCAGAGCCAGCCTGAGTACACACAGAGCACGGGGAGAGCTGGCCAGGGCCATGGCAAGCAGCGGGAGCCCTGCAGCCTAGGTCATCATGGAGTGAGCCAGGGTCTGTGTGTGGTAACATCACTGACTACATCCGTCCCTGTGTTCTGAGACTGGAACTCACTCTTATCAGGCTCTCTCTTCAGCTCTCCCCAGCATCAGGCCTGGTGGATCCTCCTTGGCTGTGGTGCTCAGTGTGGGGAGGCAGTGGAGGTTGGGTAGGGAGGGCTGAGGCACTGAACAGTTCACTAAAAGCAGGGGGAGGCAGATCCCATGCCCATGAGCCATGGTACTGAGCTCCCTTCTCCTCCATTTTCCCAGCAGTCAAGTGAAGATCTTGCGAATGGCAGCTGCCTCTTGCTGCCTCAACGCCAGGGGCACATTCTCCTTGTTCTCCAGCCCAGGCTGCTGGGGCCGCTTGCGGAAGTAGCAGGCTCGGCACACGGAGTGGTACTTGTCGGCTCCTCCAATCACTTCAACCTGGCAGGGAAATTCGGAGGGTGACTCTGCAGAGTCCAGCTTCCCTGAGGGGATCCCTCTGGACCAGCAGGACTGGAAAGGTGAAGCAGTTTCTGTTCCGAGGGAACTCACCTCCCGCTCTGCTCCCAGCCTCTTGGTGTAGGAGGCCTCCCGGAAGCACTCCATGCACACGGCGTTCAGCTTCACCACGCTCTCCGCCAGCGGCACGAGGTTCAGGATGCTCCCGAAGGCCTGTGCGAGACAGCAGAGGAGGTGCTGCTGGGCGGGTTCTGTGAGGATCCCAAGGCAGCTGCTGTGCCAAGATGAGTGTTTTACCTTCCTCTGGAAAGTCCCATCCAGAGCAGCAACGATGACGGTTTTCCCGGTGTTGGCCATTGTCTCGCAGAACTCCACGATGTCTGGGAACTGGATGGGGTACAGGCACAGCGTCAGGAGGGAGGAGGGGCAGCACTTGGCTCTGGATCCTGCAGCAATCTCTGCATGCCCAGACAGCAGCACCACGAACAAGGAAAATCAGAGCCACGTGCCCTGTCTGTAGAATGGGTTGCAGTCCTATGCTATCAGGGACTACAGGGAAGGAGGGTTTGACTACAAACACAGTCCAGCTGGATCAAACCGCCCCAGGGCACTTCTTCCCATCTCTTCCTACAGATGATTTAGGCCTTGGTCTTCACAGAGTGTTCTGGGGAGCCTGTGTTCCCCAGAGCCCCCCGAACCCACCCGAGCCGTGCACTTACGAACTGGCCCTCGTCGATGCCGATGACGGCGGCGCCCAGCGCCTCCTGGTACACGTCCTGGAGGAGCTCGGCGGGCACAGCCTCCATGGTGCTCCTGCGGGCAGGGAGGGGGTGAGCCGGGCGGGCCGGGGAGCCCCGTGGAGGGGGGGTGGTCCTCCTGCCCCAGGGACTCACTTGTCGTGTGTGGACACCCCACAGGAGCTGTAGCGCGTGTCCTTGGCGTACTTCACCAGCAGGCACCGGTACTGGGCAAGCTGGAAGCGCCGCACCCGCCGCATGAGCTCCGTGCTACGAGACACTGTGTCAGAGGGCACCGGCACCAACCCTCCCCTCAGCCCCCGCCCCGGGCCCTGCCCCGCGCCCCCCGTCCCGGGCCTACCTCTTCCCGGAGAACATCGGCCCGAAGATCACCTGGGGGCAGAACGGCGGGTCATCGGACAGCTCCGGCTCCGCCCGGTGCCGGTGCGGCCCCGGCCTCGCAGCCTTCCCAGCGCAGCGCCCTGGGGCGGTACCGTCCCCGTCCGTGCCCCTAGCCCGGTGCCTCGGGATGGTACCTGTCCGCGCCCCCCAGGGCGGTGGCCGGGAGGTGCCGTACCTGTATCTGCCCGCGGGGCCGGCTGGGCGAGCCGGGGTGGACGCCGGGCACGGTCAGGCAGTTCATGGCGGACTGACTGCCCGAGCCCGCGCGCGCCGCTCCGCCGCGCCGGTGCCGGCCAATCGGGTGAGGCCCCGCTCCAACGCGCCGCCGGGCCAGCCAGTCGCGGGAGGGCTCGCGCCGGCGCTCCGCGGCGCTGACCAATGGGAGCGCGGGCGCCAAAATTCTTATTTTGCCCTGAGCGTCGGCACCGCCTTCCCGGGCAGGCGGGACGGGACGGACACGCCCCCGTCCCTGGCCCCGCCCCCGGGCTCCGGCCTCGCCTCCAGGGTGGCCAATGGGAGTGAGGCGGCCCCGCCCACGGACTCTGGCCCCGCCCACGGACTCTGGCCCCGGGATCGGGACGGGACCGGGACCGGGACCGGGACCGGGACCGGGACCGGGCGCGACATGGGCGGGTGGCGGGATATGTCCCCTGAGGTGGGGCCCGGGGCGGGTAGCGCGCGGTTCTCTCCCGGACGGCGGGGTCTCTCCCGGACCCCGCTGCAGCCCCGTTACCTCCCCGCAGGCGCTGGAGGACCAGTACTCCCCCAGCCGCTGGTCCCCCCGCCTCGACCGGGACACCATCATCGACGCCCACCTCGCGGTGACCGCAGCAGGTGAGGAGCGGGGGACGCCGGGAGTGGGGGCTGCGCTCGGTGTCACGGCCCCGTGCCCCACCGCCTCCTGTCCTGCAGGAACCGAGCGGGCCCGAGCCAGCGCCCAGACCTCGTTGCACGTCCCCTACGGCAAAGGGGACGGGGAGAAGCTGGACATCTATTTCCCCACGGACCATGCTGGGAGTAAGTGACAGTGAGGTGAGGACAGTGAGGACGGGGGTGGGCAGGGGTCGGACCCTCTGCTTACCCCCCACTGCACTGTGCAGCCTTCCCGGTCCTGGTCTACATCCATGGCGGATACTGGCAGTGCCTGAGGTGAGGTGGGGTCCCTTCCCAAGGGTGCCCACCCTTACTGACCCCCTTCTCCTGACACTGAGACTCCCTAGGTACGTGGGGTCTGACCAGTCCACAGCTGGCCCCTGCAGCCCCTGGCCCCCACAGCCTGTCAGTGTCTCTCTTCCCCCAGCAAGGACGAGTCGGGATTCGCAGCCCCCCCGCTGGTGTCGCAGGGGGTGGCAGTGGTGGCGGTGGGGTATGACACAGCCCCCAAAGGTAGGTGTTGCCCTGCAGAGGCTGTGGCCACATGCATGGCCCAGTGCCATCTGACCCTGCCCTCTGCCCTCTGCCCAGGTCACATGGACACCATGGTTCTGCAGGTGCGCCGGTGCATTGCCTTCCTGGTGGAGCAGTACCCTGGGATCAGGTGGGCAACTCCCGGGGGGGCTGGTGTGTGAGCGTGGTTGGGCAAACGAGCCCTGCACCAGGACAAAGACTCCAGCCCCTCAGCCCAAGTGCTGGGCAGCACCTGCGGCTGCGATCCTATCAATGCACGAGGCAGCAGCTGACGGATTAGGAAACATCCAAAGTGCTGTGTTCAGGCGTGCTGCCCCCTCCGCATGGAGCAGGATGTCCCTAAGCATCCCCAGGTGTCCCTGCCAGTCACTCCCTGAACTGGCTCATGGCTCTCTCCTTCCAGAGGCATTTACCTGTGTGGGCACTCAGCAGGGGCCCACCTGGCAGCCATGGTGCTGTTCACGGACTGGACGGAATTCTGCGTGGTGCCAGATATCAAAGGTAGGGTTGGCGTATCCCAGTACGGAGGCTGGAGGAGAACTGGCCTCTGCACCTGGGACACAGCTGCGGGGCTGTGGAGCTGAGAGGATGAGCTGCCCAATGATGAGGTCCCCAGGGTTGTGGGAGCCACCTAAGCTATGGCCCCTCACTTGTTGGTGCCTCTGCCTTCAGGAGCGGTGCTGGTGAGTGGCGTGTACGATCTGGAGCCCATCCTGCACACCTATGTGAACGATGCTCTGAACATGAGCTGGTGAGCCCACACGCTGCAGGGACAGGGCACAGGCAGGCAGACATCAGTGGCCCTGTGGCCGCTCTGCCCCTGTGCCAGCCCCTGGTCGATGAACCCAGCCAAGGACATGGCTGTTCTTGGAGCAAGGGGCTGTGTCAGCTGCCACTGGGGTGACTCCTGCAGGGAGGTGGCCCAGAGGAATAGTCCCATGCGACACGTTGCCCCAGCGGTGCCAGCGGCCTGTGAGGTGCTTGTGGTTGTGGCCCAGCACGACTCCCCGGAGTTTCGCAGGCAGTCAAAGGAGTACAGCCAGGTGAGCTCCAGCAGCACCCAGCCCCAATAGAGCGCTGCTCCAGCTGGCCCTCGCCAGCCTGTCCAACTGCAATGAAGAGCTCGTGTGCTGGATCAGAGTGGTGTTTCTAGCTCAGGGAAGGATGCCAGTCCTTGCCAAGCTGTCATTCCTGCTGCCCTGTGCAGGGCAGGTGGGGACTGGGGTCCCTCCTGCCAGCACCACTCTCTCCGCAGGTCCTGCGCGCAGCCGGCTGGTCTGTCTCCCTGCTGGATCTGGCTGGTAGGGATCACTTTGATGTCATTGAGAAGCTGTCAGAGAACAGCTACATTCTCACTCAGGTAGGCAGGAGGGCTGTGCTGAGACAGATCAGGTGGGTGCAGGGCTGGCTGTCACCTCCCTGTGGGGAGGAGTGGGGCCAGCTCCTGCTCAAAGGGCTTGGTTCCTCATCCCAGGTCATTCTGAACATGATTTCAAGAGCATGATGGCATGTTGAGAGCAAATAGACAGGGACCATGGCCCTGTGTAGTGGCACCAGGCAGCCAGTGTCCCCCTGCCCACTGCCTCCTTGCTCCAGCACAGGGTGGCCACTGCCTCAGACCCCACCGGCCCCTTCTGCTCTGCCCAGCCTAGGCTGGTGCCCCTTCCCTGGGATATTCCTGCCTGCTGGAGCATGAAGGCCTGAGGGCTGCAAGGCTCTGTCTGGACAACTGGTTGATGAAGATCATTCCCTCAGTGTCCTTTAAACTGCATGTTGTTGATACAAAATAAACCAGGAATTACTGCTGCCTGGGGTAGCTGCTTCCCAGGGAGCCGGTGAGTGCACACCCACTGTGATTACTGCTGAGGGAATCCCTTCTTCCAGCACCCAGTTCTGGGCTGGGGACTCGCTGACCCAGAACATAGCAGAGAAGCCTGGGGAGCCCACATGCTGCTGCAGGACTGGCATGACACAAGCCTCTGGGAATGGGGGTGACAGAGCCATCCAAGCCAGGCTGGGCTCATACTCCTGGGACAGTCCTGGCCAGACACAAACCTTGGTGCTGCTGTGCAGTGACTCTGGTCCTGTGGATGAGATGCTTCCATGTCCTCAGAAGCATTTGTCCCTTCCTGGAGACCTTGGCTGAAATGTCCCTGCTGCAGAGGCAAGAGAGCCAAGCACACTTAAAACACCCTGCACAGTCACAGTACTGCCAGAAAACATTTATTTTATGCACTGACCACCCCAAGGACTGGGGTCTCCCCCAGGCTGGGCTCACCCTGGTTTGTCAGTGTGCCTGTTGGGACAGGTGATGTGTTGCAGTCAGCTGGGAACACACAGGGGCTGGTCCCAGTAGTCCCAGCCCCTGCACTGTGGGCTGGCCTACCTCCTTCAGCTGGGGGGCTGGGAGGAAGCTCAGGCTTCCCCTGTGCCCGGAGGAGTCGGACGCAATCCCAGGACCAGCTTCTCCTGGCACTTCCTGGCAACAAACTCCAGCTTGCTCCTTGCGAGCTCAGTGTCGCGGACCGAGATGTCGCGGTGCCAGACGGCACGCACGGTGTGCGCCGACCAGGGGAGCAGCAGGACGCTAACAGCCTCCCCGGTCTCAGCCACCTCCTCCTCGCTGGTGGCACGCAGGTGATCGCAGAGTTCAGCAGGGGATGGCCAGGCCCCCCGGACATTTACCATTACAATGTTGGTCTCCACTGCTGCCAGGTTAACAGAGCAGAGAGGCGAGTCCAGCATGTGGATGCCTGTGGGAGGCCTGGGTGGTGGGTGCAAGCCCAGTGTCTGCCTACCTGGGAGAGGCTACCTGCCCCAGCCCTGCCCCAGGTCCTGGCTGAAGGGGAGCCCTTTACCCCCCTGTGTGGTACCGGGGTCATTGTGGGCACCACAGGGATGGTCATAGAATCATCCCAGCACTCCAGCCAGATGAGGATCCCAGCAGCACCCGCACCTGGCTGGAGACCCAGCATGGCCACTGGGGGATGGTGCCTGAGCCAGCATTACCCCAGCAGTACCTGGCGGTGCTGGGCATGCCATGACCTCCTGGCACACCAAGGGGCCCTGAGGTACCTTCTGCAAAGCGCCGGGCATTGTCGTGGTCTCTGTGCAGCGTGGCCTCTGCGTGCTGCAGCCCGAGGAGCGCAGCGGCCGCCAGCACTCCCGCCTGCCGCATCCCCCCGCCCAGCAGCTTCCGCACGCGCCAGGCCTCGGCGATGAACTCCCTGCGCCCTGCCAGCACCGCGCCGGCCGGGGCACCCAGGCCCTGCGGAGCCACCAGCGGGGTCACCCCAGCTGCCCCTCCTAGGGACGCGCCCAGCCTGCCAGGTGTGTTAGCACAACACCTGCAAACAAGGGCCAAGCTCCAGCTTGCACTGCCTACCGCCAGCCCCAGAGACTCCTCTCCACACAAGCACACCTTGGAGAAGCAGAGGGACACGGAGTCACAGTGCTGGGTGATCTGAGCAGGCTCCACGCCCTGGGCCACGGCCGCATTCATCAGCCGTGCGCCATCCATGTGCACCTGCAGCCCGTAGCGGTCAGCGAGCTCACGGACCTGGGGGGCAAAGGGGTAGCTGGTCTGGGATGGACCCCGAGGGCGTCTTGTCTACCATAAGCCTCACTGTGAGCTCCAGCATCCCCACAGTGTCAGTGTGCTGGGTCCAGCTGCCCATGTCAGGCAGGATTGTGCCAGCACTGTCCATGGGCTCCCACCTGCCTGAGGTAGGTGAGGGGCAGCACCCGGCCTCCCGCCGAGCTGTGTGTGTTCTCCAGGCAGATGAGCTCAGGGCGTGGGTGGTACCGGCTGCCATGGGCCTCGCGGATGGTCAGCTCCAGCTGGTCCAGGTCAAAGGTGCCATCTGGCAGATCTGGCAGGGCTTGGGAATGGACACCGGCAACCTGCACCCAGGATGGTAAGAGCATAGAGCCGACAGGGGACAGTGGTGGCACAGGGGGGATCTGGTCCTTTGCCCCTCTGTTCCCTCCATCGGGTGTGCTCAGCCTGTACTCATGTGGTTTCGAACAATCTGGGTGATGCTGTGGCAGTGGGTCCTCTGCCTGGCCCAGTCCTGGCCGCCAGAGGAGGGCAGCACACGGCCGCCCTCCTGCCCCTGCCTGCACTGCCACCAGTGCCACCGTGCCTGCCCTCGGTACGCACCTGTGCGGCCCCACCATGCTCATAGAGGTGCAGGTGGGCATTCTGGCCCAGGAACAGCTGAGCTCCCCTTTGCCGGCAGTGGCACATCACTAGGGGAAGAGAGGTTGTGAAGGAGGGGTGCCAAGGGCAGCACCCCACAGCTCTGCCCTACCGCCCTCCCACTACCTCCCCGGCAGCAGTGGGGTTCTCCCTCGGGGAAAGAAGAGCTTCTATGGGGACCCTGGCCCCAGCAACGCTCTCCCGGGGGAACGGGGCTCTGGGGACACGGGAGGCGCAGGGCTGTCCCGGCCCTCCGCATGTCCCACGGGACGGGGGCACCACTTGCCCCCGGAACGGGCCTGGGGGCGCGGGGCGCAGTGGGTGCAGCCCCGGACTCACCAGCAATAAGGTTGGCCATGGTGGCGGTGGGCACGAACAGAGCCGCCTCCGTCCCCAAGGTCCCAGAAGCTCGGCGCTGCAGCTCTGCGGAGGGACATGGGACTCCTGGAGGGCTGGCGCTGGGGGTCCCGGGGCGTCGGGAATCCCCCAGGGACCTCACGGAAAGTCCGTCCCCTCCGCCCACCGTTCACCGCCGGGTCCTCCCCGTAGTCGTCGTCGCCCACGGCGGCGCGGGCCATGGCGCGGCGCATCCCCGCGCACGGCCGGGTTACCGTGTCGCTCCGCAGGTCCACGGGGCGGGGGAGCTCCTGCGGCTGCGACCCCCCAGTCACCCCCCTGCGCCCCGGCAGCCACCCCTGTCGCAGCACCGCCCGCATCGCCAGGACCGCCCCCCGCAAGGGCTCCCGGGCGGGGGCGGGATCTCCCGGCCCCCGCCCCGGGAATGGGGTAGGGACACGGGACTGTTGGCAGCAGTTCCTGCGTGGGCACTACAGAGCCATCCCTCCATTCCTTCACACCCCCCCCACCACTGTCCGCTCACCTCAGCCACAGTGGCGCTGGGTGACACGGGTGGGGGCCGCCCCAGCCCCGCAGTTTCCCGCGGCCCCTCGCTCTGCCAGGAGCCCCATCCTGGGGGCCAGGGGGGATCCACGAGTCTTTCCATGGCTGAGAGAGGGTAGCTCCGACTCCCACCACGTTGTGCCGCTGCCAACAGGCTGGCACGGGGTCACCAGGCTGCTGGGAACTGGCTGCAGCTCTGGCTGTGTCTGCCCTGGTAGCAGCCGACGCATCACCCGGTGGCACCGAAGGTGGGTTGGCACTGCACCGGTGCTGTAGGGTCTGTGGGCAGCTCTGCAGTTCTCAGCACTACCTGCCTGCTCTGGGGGGACCAACAGGCCTCTTGGCAGAACTCTGCACTGCCCCGGAGCAGGAGGGCATGTGCCCAGTGCAGCAACGAGACCCCCCCACCTTTCACTGTCAGGCTGGACCAGCTGGGCTGTGCCTGCCTCATGCTGTCAGTGGGGAGGGGGGCACAGCTCTGCAGAACCTGACACCTTCTCCTTGGCACTTGCAGGGCATCAGCAGGGCAGGTGCATTCAGGTCCCCCCTTCCCCTCAGGGGCCCGTGCTGCCCAGCCCTGCCCACCTGTGAATGTGCCACATTCCAGCCACCTGCACCATGGCTCCTGCCATGCTGATGCCTTCTATCTCCCTCCGTCCCGCCACAACCTTGGCCCTCCCTAGATCCCACATCCTGAGCCTTGCAGCTGCCCCGCTGGCTGCCCTGCCTCTGCCTGCACCCCTGCCCATGGGGCCTCCTCCCTCATTGCCCCCCTCGCTGTCAACCCCGCAGATGAGTGAGCCATAAACAGTCCTTCACAAGACGTTTTTCACACACAGGGCCACATGTTAACAGTTTTTCTTTATTTACTGCCTCCATTTCCTCTTTGTTCCAGGAACTTGTCCTCCAACTTCAAGCTGCTCATGATTAGGCAAAAAGGCCTCTAATCTCCCCGATCTGATTTACCGTCACTGAGAGCAGACGCTTCCCGTTACTGGCCCTGGACCTGGGAGCACGGACAGCTGAGCTGTGCCGGCTGCTGAGCCCAGCCGAGCCTCCCCAAAGCTGCCCCGCTGCACACACCGCCTTCCCGGCAGCTTCCTCTTCCAGTAAGAGCTGGGCAGCACAGCCGGTCACGTCACAGGTGAAGGGCTGGGGGGAAGAGCAGCTGTGGGGCCCTGAGCCAAGGACCCCTCCCCATGCCTGGGATGGCTGCCCTAGGGCAAGGCGGGCTTTGGAGCTGCTTTCTCTACTTGGAAGGGCTGGGTGGCTGGAGCATCCCTCAGCATGGCCTTCCCAGCCACTCACCCATCCACTCTTACAGCACCTGGTGGGGTGATTGGTGGCCCTGGGGTGCCCACAGTGGGGAGAGCTCCCATCCATCCTGGCTGTCCCTGTACGTGGCCCCAGCAAATGCTGAGGGTTGAGAGAGCTGAGGGGCAGCTCAAGGCTCTGTGCTGTGCAGCCCCTCCAGCCCAGGCAGGATCTGCAGCCAAGCAGGGGCTCCACTGGGAGGTGGCCACATCCTCTGCAGGACCATGCAGCGTGGCTGGGTCTCCTCCACAGAGCCCCTTGTCCTTCAGCCCCATACCTTTCTCTGGGTCTCTGGGCTGGGACCTCTCTCGGGGTTCTCCCCTCACTCTGAGCACCCACAGAGAGCTTCCCCATCTGCATGGGGTGCAGTAGGGCCACGGTGGGACTTGGTGGCCATATGTGGGGCAGCCAAGCTGAGGACTCAGCACTGTGGGCAGGGGGTGGGCAGTGCCAATGCCTGGCCAGTGGCTTGGCTGGCAGCTGGGGGCTTGCTGGGGGCTTGCCCAGGACCACACTGCACTGTGGCTCTGCAGCCACCACCTGCCCACGCCAGCTCCTGTGGTGGGCTGAGCCTCTCCTCCAGCCGTGCCTCCCCCGGGCTAAAATTAGCAGCTGAGGCCTGGCTGGGGAGCCGGGAGTGGAGCCCAGACCCCACCGCGGAGGATCAGGTTTCCCCCCCTCCCTGCCACAGGCCTGGCAGCCACTGGGGCTGATTCCCGGAGCTGGGCCCCCCCTGCCACCGGCCCCACCGGCAGCCCTGTCCCAGCCCTGCCAGACCCAGCTGCTTTGCCCTGCGCTGCAGGAGGCTCAAGAGGGGTTGTGGGGGGGCACAGTGCTGTACCTAACCAGACTGGGGCCAAGATCTCTGCCCCTGGCATACATGGCTACCCTGGAACAGGCTGGCAGTGAGCTCTATTCCCAGCCTCCCAGTAGAGCTGGTGGCTGCAAGGGGGGCCCTGTGGGGATGGGGCTGTCGGTGGCTCGGGTGGTGTCCTGGGGGTCTTGTGCCAGGTGCCCAGGGCTGGCTGAGGGCTGGGTAGTGACCCTGACATTCTCACCATGAACATCTGAATGGTCCCGGTCCCACTGGGGCCGGGGCAGCCGCCATCCATCACCCCTGAGGGGCCGGAGCTGCAGAGCCGAGCGGTTTCCCGTTACTGGGAATGGCAGGGCGATGCCCGGGAGCGCCGGTTCCAGGTTCGGCCGGGCCAGGTCGTGCCCCCACCCGCCGCAGTCCCGGTGTCGGTGACGTGTCCCGAGCTGCAGCCACCGTTCGCACACAGCACCGGCCAAGGTTCGGCCCGGGACAGAGCCCCGACGGGCAGAGTCCCGGGGCTGCCACGGCCATACCCGGTGCGGGAGCCGCGGGCCGCCTCGGGGAGACTGCGGAGCCCCGCGTGGTCCGGTGCCGGAGCCGGGGCCCGGTGGCCGCGCGGTCCCGGCCGGTGCCCCGTCCCCAGCCCGCGGGGCCGCGGGTGCCCCCCCTCTGCCGGCAGCGACTTTTCCAGTAAAACCGCCGCAGAGATCCCGGCTTCCCGACAGGCCCGGCCTCCGCGCCGGGGGGGCGCCGGCCGCCCTTAACCCTTCCCGGCCCGGCCGGCCCCGCGCTGCCCGCCCGACTGCGGGCCCGGGACCCGGGGCGGCTGCGCCCGCCCGGCCCGACCCGGCGGCTCCGGGGACCTGCGGGGGACTCTGTCCGCCGAGTCCGGGGCGGCGATGACCCCGCTCCCGACAAACAGGGGGCCCAGTGGTCCTGGTGGTCCCGGAGGCTCCAGTGCCGAGGCAGCCTGACCCGCGGCACCGGGAGCCGGTGGGAGACACCCGACCCCTGCTCCGGGGGTCTTTCGTCCTCAGTCCCGGCGGGGTCCGGCTGTACCGGGAAGGGCCCCCTTAGCCCCCCATGACCCCAAACAGAGGGTTTCCCTTCTCAGGGTGCAGCTGAACAGGGTCTGGACCCCTCCGCAGGGCAGAGGGACCATCCCAAGGGCCGAAGAGCTGGAGAAGCGACAGGAAAAAAAGCCCCTCTGTGCTGTACCCCAGCGCGGGCTGGGGATGGGCGCTGTGGGGATGGGGCGGCCGTGGGGTCCCTGGGAGAGCCCGGGTGCTGGGGCAGCTCTGGGGGTACTCTGGGAGAGTGCTGGTGGCAATGACGGCTCAGGGCTAGTGGCTGTGCCAGCTCCACAGCCCTGCCCAGCACTCCGTGGAGACACTCCGGACGGGTGGGCAGAGCTGGGGCTGCCCGGGCAGCGAGGGTCCATGCTGAGAGCTGTGCAGAGCAGTCCCCGCTGTGCCCTGCCTGCCGCCAGCTGCTGCACTGGCTGAGCCAGGGCTGAGGTAAGTGCTGTAATTGTTTTCTCTGTGGCCCGAAATGAATAATTGAGAGGTCTTTGAGGAGAATTAATTAGCCCGTTTATTGGCAGTAAATGCTTTTCTCCAGATGAGGAAATAGATCCTGAGCCACACGTGGGGCAGGCGGATGCAGGTCGTTGAGGCTGCTCCGGAGCTTGTGGGTGCCAGTCCGCAGGCCAGGCGTGCCGGTGCCCTGTGCCCACTGTGGGCTCCCATGGCCTCCCTGCAGTCCTGCATGCCCAGAGCTCACTGCACGCACGGCCAGCGGAACCCAGTGTGGGTGGGAGCAAGGGGCATGAAGGGGTGAGGAGGGTCTTGTGGCATTGTGGGAGCCCTCTGCCTCTATCGTGCCCATGTGGCTTCCTGCTCCCCCCCAGCTCACATCCCATGCTAGGGGCTCCCTCCCTGTGCAGACCCTGCTGTGTCCCCTTGTGTCTCCTTCCTTGTGGCTGCCAGTGTGGTGCAAGCTTGGGGCTTGTGACCTGCACCTCCTCCTCCTCCTCACCTCCTCTTTCTCCTCCTCCCCTGGGCATGAGGTGAAGGGCCCTGGATAGCCAGAAATGCTTAAACAAGGATTTCCTTGTTGCTGCACGAGCTGTTTGCCTTCTCCCAGGCCAGCCGTTAATGAGGTTTGGCAGGAGGCACTGTCAGCCCCAGCCATTGGATTTCTATAAATCAGCCTGGAGCTGATGCTTGCGGCTAGGATGGAACTACTTGGCTTCAGTGCATGGGACTGCAGCCTGTGGGTCGTGGGAGACCCTCTGGGAGTGGAACATCCTGGCAGGGTGGAGAGGGGCAGAGGCTGAGGGGGCCAAAGAGGACAAGGGGGCTGTGGCTGCTTCCCAGCAGACAGGTCAGAGTGTCTGCTTCCAGGAATGGTGGAAAATGTAAAGCAAAAAACAAAGCAGCTTCCCACAGCTGAGGTGCTGCTGTGTCCTGATCTTTCCCACATTCCCACCTCCCTTCCCCAGACCCGGAGAGGCTGTTGGGTGGTCAGAACTGGGATGGGAATGGCTTTGCCCCCCTGCCTGCCCTGCCTTGGAGTGGGGAGAATGGCTGTGGCCACGCGTCCCTGGGCAGCCTTAGATGTGCAAAGTGGGGCA